TTAGCAAGTTATGATATACGATCATCATGTAATGATTCATATGCATCGGAATGTAGTTCAATAAAACCATCCGGTATAATATCACCAAGTGACATACCTGATTCACCACCATGTGAACCAGAAATTATAGAAGAAGAACATGAACATATAAAACATAATAATCGTACATTAACTATGAATACAACATCAAGTCATAATCGAACAACAATGATGGGTGAAACAGTTATTGAAAAAACTTTTATATTTAATCAACATGAATTAATTTCAAATCAAAATAATGATAATGATGATAGTGAACATCTTGATGAAGTTATTGTTTATTCATATGACACATATGATATGAATCAAAATCATATTAATAAATCATTCTATAATAAAGAAATGATATTTAATGATGATAGTTATCGTGTATTTAATAGTCAAATTGATGAAAATGATTTATTCATAGATGATAATGATATACAAAATGAGTCATCATTTAATGTTCCTTTACATGAAAATTTAAGTGTTATTACAGAAGAATCTTCTTTTATTGAAGATAATCTTAATTCTAATGATGAAACTAATAGTATTAAAATTCTTTATGATCTTATTAAAAAACCACATTGGACAAATAAAAATAATTTAATCGAACAACAATTATTAACTAATACATCAGCAATTCCTAATACTTCATTCAGTAGTAGTCCTAGTAGTCTTAGTCTTGACAGTAATAATCAAACAGATAATGATGATGATGATGAATATGATCCAGAAAAAGGACGACAATTAATACAACGTCTTATTGAAGAAACACTTGCTCGAAGGTTAAATATAAACACTTCAAACGTATTTCTATAATTTATTGTTGTTTTTTTAAATATAGATCTCTACAAACAGATTTTTTTCATTCACCTTCATGTGTACTTTGTCCATCAAATACACCAATGACTATACCAACACGAAGTGTATCATCATCCTCATCAAGTTCAATATCAACATCGACGAAATCTTGTACATGTATAACGAATAGATCATCAAATATAATTCAACAGCCACAACGTAGTCAAAGTTCACCAGCTAGACCTTCAGCCATTGTTGTTGATGAATCAAAACGACAGCCAATCAAATCAAAAGTAAACTTTTTAATACTGAGTAATATTTTACTAATTTGAATATTTTCTAGGAGAAGACAGTACATCATACTCGTTCATCATTTTTACGTCTTCGCCAAGCTCAACAAAATAAACGACTCTATCAACAAGATAAAAGATTCTAGTCATATATAATCATTGATAGATGTAAATCAGATTTGTTATTGTTTGATTTTTACACCTGCATGTTTCTTTTTTTTTTGTGTATCGCGTCTGTAAATTGTGTATAGATATGTTATCGTAGGTTCTTTTTTTTTTATTCAATGAATAATTTAAAATCAAGACGAAAAAGCTGTTATTGCAATTCCTGCAAGATTAAAATAGGAAACACAATATAGTTGCTCTTGCTAATCACACAGAGATTGCTTTATTTTATCTATTTTGGGACATGTCTCTTCGCCATATTTTTACTTAATCCTCTAGAATTGCAATAACGAAGTAGTTTATATATTATAAAGAAACCTTATTAATTTCTACTCTATACTCTTCAATATTTCTTTTAGATTGTGTTTTACAGAGGCTTCATATTTTATTTAAAACTAGTGACTATCTACAAGTATTTACCAACTAATCGAGGAATATGTTTCTTTCATGCACTTATCTCATACTTTTTTTTTAAAGAATGTAACTCAAGTTTCATTTTATCATCACATAGACGAAGAATACCTATTTCGAATGAGTGTGTTTCTTTTTTTATACAATACAAAATATTTGAGTACTTCGGACTTTATGAATAAGAGAAAACATAGCTTTGACTTAACTATCTTCGCATGTCAAAAAAAGATTGGCATACTTTTGTAAACGAAATATGAGATGATTTACTAAAAAAATTATTACTTCTATTTTTGAATAATAGAACAACTAACAATAAAAGAGAAGTTCAAACCGTGACTCGTGAAAAGTCAAAACACAAAAGTTACAGCCGTTCATATTTTTGTCATATAAGCAATCAAGGTATTCTTTTATCACGAATTACACCATCATTGTCTATTTTTTCACTTATACTTGATGTAACATCACGTACTGTTGCCTTTTGTCCACATATTTAACTTGATGAATTTTGGATAAAAATTGTACCATTACTGTCAACTCTGCTAATTCATTGTATTTCTTTTTTTTGAATTTCGAAATTTACTGTTATTATCAGTACTTACCGACAAAATGGAAAACAGATCGAGTATGTGCCTTTTGATCAAATAATAAGAAATATAATTTAATAAAACTTCATACAAAAACAAAACAACGTCATTGACACCTGTTATTTAAACAAACGATCAGAAATTAGTTTTTGAATTACTTGATAACGTAACACAAATTGTTAATTTAGATAGTTTGATTTGTTGATAATGATGAAGCCATTATAAACATTGCTTATTGTGGCAACAACCACTATAATGTGAATAGTTTTTGTTTTCCAATGTTAAGTATCATTTTTTTAAAAAGTATATCTTTTGAAAGGCAATACATTGCATTTTTACTTCAATCAATGAAAAAAGAAAATAGATAAGATAATTTATAGACGTGTTGTAAAACTTGTTGTATAATCTACAATTGAGAGACTTATTTAAGTGTGTTGATTAAGGGGACAAAAATAAAGCCTTAGTAAAACATCATTCTCGACCTTGGTTTAGATTTTATTCAAGTGTATTGCGTGATTGAATATGTTATCAAGATAAAAAAAACGAGTTAAATATTTGTTCTTTTATCTATAAACGATCAGGTAGATCGTAAACTGACAGAGTGAAGATTTATGATTTGATATCAACTTGATCAATTCAAATTTGCTTATCTTTCGATTATAACTCTAGTTACAATTCATTTAATTGATTATTTCGTTGTTAAGATTGCAAAGTAGACTGTTATTATTAAGAAACGGGAAAACTTTTTATTGAGCAAGTTAAAAAGAAAATTTATTTCATTTTTTTATATTTCAATCATTTTGGATGATTAATCTTGTAAAAATAAAGGAACTAATCCATATTGAAAGATTATTTCAATGACTAATCTTGATGAACTTTATTCGAATGTTTAAATTCATTTATACGTAATTATAATTAATGAATTTGTTCACCATATGCTTTTCTTAATTTGTTCCTACAATTTGAGTATTTTTTCAAATTAAATATTTAATAACTTCATTAATATCAAATTGATGATCTAAAAAATTAAGCGAATAAAACGTATGATACAGTGGACGAATGGAAAGATGCCAATCAAAGTTAAGTTTTCTTCAGGACTACTTTGTCGCAACCAAAATCTAATAGAAACAACAAGTTGATCTTTGATATTAAATGTGAGACTAAAGCAGAAATAGAGAAGAGTAGAATCTTTAGTTTATCGATACCAATCAACATGGACTATTCCTTTGCTTACTGCTCTCGAAAATATGGATTAACTGTGAAACAAATAATAAATATTGTCTGTTACAAAAAAATAATAGTCGCGGCCATTTTTGAAATAACTCAAGGAAGGAAAGAGCTAGAGAGCTGTGGTTTTCACGAGTCGAAAAAGATGACACTAGGACATCTTTTTCTCTAATATTGTATAAGACGGAATCATTTTAAAATCAAACGTTTTTACAAAACATCAAAAACAGGCACAAAAATTACCTGTCGTTCATATGAAATTTTGACAAAAACTAAGAAAATTTGCTTAAAAATTAAAAGAAATTCATACTTTTCGAGGGAGTAAATAAAGAATTTGATTTACTTAACGTTATAATGTGTGAAGGCGATCATTCAAATTATATCTTAAACTATAGATCTGAGGTCCCTCTATTCAAATCACATATCAAAACCAAAATTTCATCGAAACGACAGACCGTTTTCATGGTTTTTTTTGCAATGTTTTGCAAAAAATGATAGATTTAAAAATGATTTCGTCTTATACCATAGTGGAGAAAAAGATGTCCTAGTATCGTCTCTTTCGACTGGTGAATATCACAGCTCTCTCGCTCTTTCCTTTCTTGAGCTATTACAAGAATAGGCGTGACCATTATTTTTTAACAGACAATAGTCGAATCTCATCAATTGACTGCTAGCATAGCTTTGCTAACAGAAATATTTCACTTTACGTACTGTTTCAGATCAGCCATACAATAAAATGATAAAGCTGATATGTTTCGTGTGTTAAATTTATTGAACACGTTCGAAATGTTCGTGCATCTTGATAATAATTGTTGTCTAATATTCATGTTAAATTTAGTTTATGAATCAAAAATTTTATTCAAAAAACATTATAATAAAGTAGCACAAAAACTGTCTATGTCAAAAAAACAAAAAAGAAGCTATTTCTGATAAGTTGAAGGTAAATTAAACATCGCTTTCATTTTTTTTTATCTTTTATTTTAGAATGTTATGGAAAAAATATGCGTGTCCAAATGTACAATATTTACTGAAACTTTTTTATATTGTTCAAGTTAATCACATAGCATATTGTTTGATGTAACTAATCTGTTGAAATTATGCAAAGTGTAATTATGAAGAAGAAAAAACTGGTAGCCAAGAGTTTGCTTATGTTTTCAAGAAAAGTAAATATGTTTTGCCAATGCTACGAAATGGAAGAAGATGACATGTTGTTTTTGGTGAAGATTATCGAGAATTAGATCTTAAAATACATAACGAAATGTTGTTTTGAATGAAAGGATGTGAAGCATCAGTGTGCGTTCTATTTAACCACATCCAAAACTTTCTACAATTCGAAAGCATCATCGGTAATGTTCAGTATCTCAAAGTATTTCCTGCAATATGTTGATCCGACAGCCATGATAGATATCTGCTAAAACCTATAAAGATTTCTAAAAACTGGAATAAAATTGTATCAAAAACTTCATGTATGGCTAGTAATAGCATTAGGATACATTTTCATATATTAATAAGAATGTTTATTCAAAGCCAAATAAATCGACTTTGAAACTTTTGAAATATACCTAATAAAAATTTCAATCTAATACATATTTTCTCGTTCGAAAAAGTAAGGTTCATTCAACGGTAACACTGACAAAAACGCTTATAACTTGAAAAATTCATAACTCCTGATGAAAGCAGCTTGGGATCAAGTCAATTTAGGGTATATCACTCCTAGCTATGCCCTATCCGACCATCACATCCTGGGTCGAAAAGCTTTTTATCACCTCAAAAGGGTTTCCTCCTTAGTGCTGCCTACTCTTGATCTCGAAATGTCAGACACTCAAAGATATTGTGTTAATTTGATTATATATAAATATTTGATTTGCTATCTCTGCTATAAGAATGACTGTTTTATTCGATAAAATCACCAGAGTTTGACGTTAAAAAGTGCTTCTGATTACTATTTATTGTATTATATATTTTTATCTCAACACTTTCGATTTGTCTTCAGTTGAAAACTAAAGCATACATAAATTTTAATAGAATGATATCTCTTTGCACATAAATATCTATCCTATAGTCGTGTCTTTGTCTATATATGTATTTATTGTTATTCATTTGCATAACTTATTCTCTTATTGTAAGTTTGGTTTGAATAGGAATCTATAACTTTATGTAAGAATTTCAAATAATGTTGGACAGACAACTACTAGAAACATATTATTCATTTGTTGTATTTTACTTCTACAAATGATTGTTGTCATCGAAAATCGAATGCTACAACAATTATAAAACTTGTTTTCTTATTATTATCTTTTCCTTAGAATTTCGACTACAAAACTATACTTCTTATGAATGTTAATAGTTGGAAAGAAGTCCAATTTCATTGAGGAACAAGCTAATAAAACAAAATCGATATGAATTAGACAATCAAGATACAATACTAAATATTCAAACTCTTAAACTATCAACATTAGAGTACAACAAAACAAATGATGCATTAACTAACTATCAATGATGTTTTATTCTCGCTATAACTCATATTCGTGATTATAACTAGCCAGCTATACAGAAAAGACATAGATTATTCGACGAAAGATTTTCAGATATAAGGAACTTTTCTGAAAGCGATTCTTTTGTTTTTGTAAAGAATAGGTTCATGTCTGTGAATGTTATAATAAAAATATTCAATAATTTTAATATTTGCATGAAGAAAAACTATACTATCTTTATAAGATATTGAATACAGACAAACGTAAAACGGAAACGAAGATTGTTCACAAGCGACATCTTAATTATGACAGCTATATAGATTTGTATCAAAAAAAAATCATTGGCTAATTTAAAGAGAGAAACTTTTGCTTTCTTCTTCTAATTGTTTCTAAATACAACTCATCTTACTTATGTCGACAGTAAACAAGAAAAAAGGCTCATCTTCTCCTAAACATTCAATAAAAGAACATCATGATGAAATCACTGATGGTAACAATCGAGAAAAAAACCTGAATACTGACGAAATTCCTATTGAAGAGGTATTTAATAGAAGTCTAAACATAGTCTCATATAGAAAAAGATTTCATTTTTCTATCAATCTTTCAGCGAAACATAGTTTCTAATTTGAAACTTGTTCCTCGTTCAGATTCACACGGCTAACGATTGGGAACATGCTGATCTTGGAGATGATCTACGAAAACAAAAATTTCTTCGATTAATGGGTGCTAAAGTAAGTTTGGAAGAAAAAAGAATGTATACAATGAAATTTTATTTTTAGAAACGTAAAGATGAATGTCGAATAGATAGCAAAAATTCTTCTAGCATAACTCATAACGATATTCATTCATTTGAAAAGAAACATTGTCGTTCAAGTTAGTTTACCTTTGTTTTTCTATTATATACATCAAAATATGAAATAATCTATTTAATATATATATTTAGAAACACAAAATGAAGCAATTAATCTCGAATTAGAAAAACAATTTAATGAAGGTTTACAATCAAAAATTTTACATACGCATCATGAAGGTCTTGGTTTTCATGGTAGTGATATTAGTACTGCTTCAAGTTCAAATGATTGGCATCATGAACAAGTAAAAACAAAATTTGTTCCAGCTACAACAACAGAAAGTGTACCATCATCATTGAATGAAGCAATACCTAAAGAATTAGACAATACGAAAAATAAATCGAAATCATAAACAATATAGATCTTTTGTTTATTTTTCTAATCGTGCAAATAAAAATAATATGACATTTAGATATAGACTGATATTAAATTTATTACTTACTGATTGATTTCTCTACAAAAATTGATCTTTTCAACATTTGATGTGCAGAGTGGGTAAAAATATTTTTCCAGGAAGATAACGCTATGGTTTCAAATAGTAGCCATAACAAATTTTATACTAAATAAAAACGTATCGAAAATGAGATTTATTGATGCTAAATAGTAAATGATAAGACAACCTCTTAGTGTCAAATTCAGGCAATTTCTACTACTTCACGCCACATTGACAATGAAAAATTACTTTCATGAGATAGTTCGAACTAGAGCTCATTTAAAAGCAAGAATAACACAAAGCAATCGACAGTTGGCCCGGAAATATTGAAACAACAATCAAAAATAAAACTGAAACAAAACGCTATTGAAAACGAAACGATACTATTACGATGAAGAAACTTTTGAAAATATATTTCAGATGCTTCAACAAACATTGAGTCATTGGAAACTATTGCATTCTCGTATCCGTCTCATATTAGTACTGTAAAGAAACCTAATGGTCATCATACTGATCATTGGTCATATTCATCAAATCTTTAAATGAAATAAATAGTACTTCGTGATATTTCTACTTTTAAATGACATCTAGTTGAAACTATCTCATGAAAATAATCTTTCATTGTCAATTTGGCGTGAAGTTTTAGGAATTGTCTGAATTTGGCACTAAAAGGTTGCCTTATCATTTACTATTTAGCATCAACAAATCCCATTTTCGACAAGCTTTAATTTGGTATAAAATCTGTTATGGCTATTATTTGAAGCCATAGCGTTATCTCCCTGGAAAAATATTTTTATCCACCCTGTATTTTCTGTTAAATGCTTAAACTAATGCAATTCGATGCCAAAATACATATTAAAATAGATTCGATAGATAATATTGATAAAATTCAAGAACCAATTCAATGATCAATAGGAAAGCATTGATGTAGCACAAACAGAACAGTAAATATTCAGAAGTAATAAATCAATTTTAAGATTAATTCAATTTATATATGATAGAAACTTTCTAATAAGTGAAATGTATTTATAAGATTCACTTTTCATTGGTTTCTTTCTTTTAAGTAAATAAGTCAAAAAAAAACAAGAAAAAAGATTAAACAAAGGTATAACCAAGAAGAAATAGATGAAACAAATCAATTTGTTTGAAGGTTTCACTAGAGTATGTGATAGATTTTCTTCTGAAGTATTGTCATCATAACTTTTTACTTTTGCTATTAATTCTTGAAGCATATGCTTAGGTTCAGTTTTGAATATATATGATCTCACCAAACTCTAGTCGCTTGAGAAATGTGTACGGAGAAATTTTATTGAGCGATTCAAAGTATGATCCGACGGGATCTACTGGACTGTCAGCTTCCACGTACTGCAACAAATATATGCTCCGTAATTAAATAATGAAAAAGAAACAGATTCTATAATTATTTTAAAAATTCTAATTATTTTATTATCAAAAATGTTTAATTGAACAGCTTCGACTGAAAATATATTTATAATAATGAAAAAAAAAACATACAAATAAAATTTTTCTTATTCGTATGAATTTTGTTTATTTTGTAATTGTTGTAATTGGAATCGAGTTTATCTTATATTGATTAGATCTTCCACTTGTAACTGTATTTATAAGTTGTAATAATCTATTTGTATTTATAAATCGACAATGTAATAAATGAAAAAATTCTTTTCGAAATTCGACTAATGTTATAAAATATAAGAAAAATGATAATGAATGATAAGTATATTTAATTGAATCTAAAAGACTAAGTAAAAGAGTTTGAAATACATCTGATTGAAGTTGTTTATGAAAGAAAGCAAATATAACTGCTGGTGGTGTTGTCATAATACAAAAAAGAAATGCTGATAAAAGTATTGGCATTGATATTGATGAATGTCGAACACGAGATCGTTGTAATGATGATGTCTTTTTTATTAAAATTAAATGTCGAATAATTAATATATTAAAAGTTAACATTAGAATAAATGGTATTATATTATATAATGCTAAATTAATATAACTCCATGATGGATAAAGAGGAAAATAAAGTGAACCACCAGCTACTTTTGTTCCATTATTATAAGAATGACATGCAAATATAGGTAAATGTAAATTAATAAGTGCTATTATAATAAATGTAAAAATGATCAGAAATATAACACGACGATGTTGATTATTTGTTCGACTTTGTCGAATTTGGTGTAATGCACAAAAACGATCAACACACATCCAAACACGTAACCAAGCTGATGATTGATTTAAAAAATGGTTGACATATGTTGATAGTTTACATGATAAAACTGTTAATCGATCAATTTCAAAACCAAATTTTAAGCGAAAAAAATGATCTAAATTCCAACCATAAAGTATAAATATATCAATCAATGCTAAAACACGCATAAAACGTATAGTCGGTCGTTGACGAAACACTTTTTGATAGAGAATTATTAATGTCAAACTGTTCAATATTGTTGTCATACATGTTAACCATAAAGGATAGTAAGTAAACAATATTGTGCCTACGGATGAACGACGTGTTGCCATTGTTTAATAGAGTTAAATGATTTGTTCAGATAGACTCGAGTGTTCTCATCGTATTTATTTCTACATAGCACATCAATTATGCAAAATTTAATTATTAATAATGCGGAGGTAGAGAATGCTTTTAGTTCGATCACGTACACAAGAAGAAGTTCAAAGTTGACAGATAGCATTTACAGTAAATATTAGATGCCAAAGTTTAAAGTATACTGAAGACAGATAAAGTTTTTGATTATATATATATATGTATGTTTTCACGATTCATCTTTTAAACGAACAGATTCATGTAATATTTCATAGAAAAATTTCTTTATTGTTTTTAAAGTAATAAATACAACAAAATTATGAAAATCAATATGATAAAATCAGCATATTTTTCTGAATTCTCAATTTTTTTGTAGCTTTGATGAAAACTAAATAAGTCAAATCAAATCGATTTTATTGTTTCATGAATAGTATTTTCAATTAACAATTATTCAAAGTAATCACATATATCAACAACTAACATAGATAATTATCACACCTACTTCGAAGATAGAATTTCTTGTCGTGCCGTTATGCTCTGTAATTAATATTGTTCTCATTGCTATTTGAATAATAATTAGTAAGCGCTCTATCTCAGATTTGCTTTTCTAAGAAACAGGAAAAACTCATCTTACAATTTCTACAGTACTGATCATATGGAATGCTTTGTTTTTCCTGTAAATGTTCTTCAATCATTCTTATGCTAATTTTGTCACAAACTGTTTCTTTGATTTAAAATATTCATGTTTTTCAATATATTATTTTATATTTTGATTTTTATAATTTCTATAACCAAAATAAAAAAAAATTTGAATTAAAAACATGATTGATTTAATTTATTTTTAAAATGTAGAAAATATAATCTATATGAAAGTAAATCTGACACGATATTATATTACTAACTTTCTTTAATTGATGATAGACTTTCTAAAAAACTTTCTCGTTTCTTTTTATCACCATCTAATAAACAAAACAGATTTCGTTCATAATTGATAAAATGTGTTCGATTACGTTGAGCAAATTTAATAAATAGATTATTATTTGATGAAGGCGACATCACTACATTTGTTGTTAGAAATTGTAATACATTTGATTTATCTTCATGAAAATTTGTAGTTTGTTCTTGATGATTGAGATGATATTGACGAGAAAATTCTACTAAATTAACATTTTTATCATATCCATAATAGAAAATATCATTTGGTATATCAATTAATGGTCGACTATTATTTGCCTAGAATTAAAAATCAATATTATGTTGAAATCTTAATATCAATTATATCTTACCTGTCGTTTAAGAACCCAATATGTATGAATACTTTCAAGAATATCTGGAAGAATTAATGTTTGTTTTTTAATACTTTCTAAATCGATATACGATGTAAATTGTTCAAATCTAAATAAATAATATTATGAATTTAATATACTAACGTAAGAATAATAAATAAAATACCGTTTTTGTTCATTTTCTAGAAATTTATTTCTTCGTGCTCGTTTTTCTGATAAATCAAGTTTTTCTGTATGTCGATGACAAAGTGCCTAATAAATAAAATAATCGAAAATATAGTTAAAATAATAAATTGAAAAGAATTTTCATACAATCAATCGAACTATAACTTTATCATCACTTTCAGCTATAAGCATATCTTGGCCAGCATCTATTGCACATAATGAATGAAATCGATTTTGACAATTTTTCCAACAACAATTTATTTTCACACCAGTCGTTTTATTACATATTAAACAACGTCCATCATATTTCTATTTAAATGAACAATTCTAATATATAAATATTAAATTCTAAAACTATTTCATACGAGTGTATCATTTAAAATTGGTGTCATTTTTTCATCAAATTTAACTATAGGAAGCCAGAATGCACATGAAAGATGAACCCATTGTTGTTCATCTCTGAAATGAAAAAATTTCATTTTTTTTTTCTAATATGAATATAAGAAAACTTTACGAAGGTGTTTTTAAAGTTTTTAATGCTCCTCCACTTTTATCACATAAACAACATAGATGTTGATCATTAGCACATTGACATGAAAGACACAGCCATTCATTTTCATCATCATCAAGTCCATAACATTTCTAAAAATATAAATAGATTTAAAATATTTCCAAGTCATTATTTTAACCTTATGAACAATTATTTTACATTGGCCACATTGAATAAGATCATCAACATCATCAATCTGAATAAAAACATTTCAAATTTGAATTTTAATGAAAACTAAAAACAATAATTACACGATGACAGGCATCACATTCAATTGTATCTTCATAGTTTTTCTGTCGAATAGCCAATAAGCATTGATGTTCAAGTAATTGCATAATATATTCAAATATATTTTCATCAAGTTCAGGCAACTCTATTCAAAGTTAAAATATTAAATTAGTGTCATAATTTGGTTTTGACAACCAGGATGTTTAACATGACCAGGTTCTGTCTGATGGATAGACTCAGTATGTCTAATATCTTATCTCTTTGATCATGTCATTCATTATATATTGCATAGTCCAGAACGTATCAACAGATATGTCGCAAAATTGTCCACAAAGACCGTATTAAATGTTTTATTACAAAATATAACAATGAATAACTCCATGAAAAATATTAAATACGAGTTTTTTGTTACTTTTGTTATTCTGTATGAAACGATTCAATAATCTAATTATCCGCTTTCTAGCTCTTAAACAGTTCTACCCTCTGTTTTTTATTACAAACAAATCTCTCTTTTCTGCACTTTTATTTTGCTCAAATTATTTCTTTTGAACTCAAAGCTTCATACTTTTGAGTCGATATTTTGCCCATAAGTCGACCTAGCCGAGTTATGAAAAGTCTCCATAGGGTTAGAGTTCATTTGCGTTTTTGGTCGAGTTTTGAACTGTTCAAGTATTTTCCATACACATGAAAGGATATTAAATCTTTTTGAGGGTGAACTTAATGATGATTAGATTATATCAAACTTTCTAACGCTGCAATCATAAGAAGTTCTCATATGATAAAAGTCAAAATTATAAGAACAAAATCTGTCATTAGGTTCACTCTCAAAAAGATGCGACCGTCTAGGATCGTTTTGTTTTTGTCACTATTTTTCACATAATCTTGCATCGTCATATTTTGCAATAAAACATTCAGTACAATTTTTCTAAAGAACTCCATGGTGCATCTTTTGGTATAAATACAGAAGGCAAATTACTGAGTTGATCCATGTATATAAATTTATATGACACAATATCCATTTCTTTTGTACTACTCAATATCTTGGATCTATCATTCTTGGTTCATTTAAAAAAAAGAAAAGAATCTAAATATTCTTAATCATACAGTCTTACTTTTTTCAATACGAAATTGATTGTATGCTATAAGCCATTGAAAATCTTGTTCATCAAGATCATATTCTTCGTATTGATTTTCATTATTATCAATAATAAAACTATAGAAAATAAAATGAAGTGCATTGAAAAGAATAGTTAAACTATTATTTTCATTGAAATTACTTTGTTGAGCGATTTTTAATTGTATTATTTATTGATGGTACTAATTGATATTTGATATTAGATATATTTTTATCCTTAATATGTCTAAGATCATCATTAAAACTCCAATCACGATTTCGAATACCAGTTATCATAATTGATGAATTATTATCTTCATTCGTTGATATTACTGATGGTCGACTGATCTAAAATAATAATCAATTAAACATTATCAATCATATATAAATGATGAGCTGAAAGTTTCTAGACAAAATATTTGACTTTTTTTCGTATTTTTAAATGCATTAGAAAAGAGTAAGATGTTAAATACAGCTAAAAAATGGCAGAGTTGTGATGGATAGGGATTTTTTTCGTTGAAAAGACGAAAATAACCATTTTTCTTACGATAAATAAAATAAATCTTGATTCTCTTCCAATGCATTTAAATACGAGAAAATTAATCAAATATTTTGTCTAGCAACATGTACTCCTCTCCTTAATTAGCAAATTCTCTTGTTTTTTTTTTAATTAACCTCATTAAACTTCTGTTCAAGATTATTGCCACTAAGATGATCATCATCATCATTACAGCCATCATCTATTTCCTTTCGACGACCAAATCGAATAGTAAAAAAACGAGGCAAAGGTTCAATAACATTAAAATTCGATTGCAAACCACTCGAGAGCATATTTCTAAAAAAAAGAAAATAAAAACGATTTAAAACATTGGAAGAAGAAATCATATTATTCTTTGCATGTCAATTTTTTCTTTTTTTTTTTTTTCTACTTGCCACAAATATAATGAATTATTTAACCTTGCAAACAAAACTCTGTCTCTCTTTAGTTTTTTATTTAGAAAAGAAAAAAGAAATTCAACAATGTCAATGTACGATGAAGAATATCGTTTAATATCTGAACAACGAAAACATCATACATCACCATCATTGGAAATTCCTGAATCATCCGAAATTTTACGACAACAAAAAAAACATCAATTATTAACAAGAAAACAAATAAACTCATCAAAACTAAATAAAGATGAAATTAAATATCAACGATTTGTTCATGGCCTTCAAAAAGAGATGTAAATTCAAACAGATTCTTCTGTCTTTTTTTTTGTTTTGTTGATAATAACTTTCTAGAAAAGTTTATATAAATCAATCATTACGTGAAAGTCGTTTCAATACACGAGTTAATCAATGTTCAGAAATAAATCCATCCTTTCCAGTAAATATTTTAAATAAACATTATTAATCAATAATTTTTTCTAATACTTTCTAGACTATACGAGATACATTCAAATCAAAACGTTTAGGTTCAACAGTCAGTTCTCAGAGAATAAATGAAACTGAGACAATTATCAGGTCAACATAGAGCTATACTTGTTTAATTATTATCTTATTTTTTTTTCTCTTCTTCTTCTTCAAGTTCTATTAGCAATCGACATGATCCCATGTCAATACTAAAACATAACGAAACAAAACGTCTTACAGCTGATGTTCAAACAATTCTTGTACATAAAACATAGAATTTCAATATATAAAAGAAATCCTTACTCAATTTCCTTATTTCATTAGACTGGACCAGCAATGAAAAGCTTCTATCTTCAATTTATTCGACCTCCACGACAACAACACCATCAACGAAATCCATACGAAACAACACTGTTATATGCATCTGAACAATAATAAACAAATGAACTAATTCGAATAAAATGTTTATTATTTGTTTCCATTAGTTTTTTTCTTTTTTTTTATTGTTGTATTTTCTCTCATCGTTTACACATACACACACATGTTCTCTTTACCAGACAGATATGAGGAAAAGACGACAAAGAAGCGAAAAAAAAAACAAAATGATCTAATAAGAGATGAACAAGAAATAACAAAAGTCTTTGATTCGTTTTTTTTTCCTTCTTCTTCTAAGTATGTACACGAGGCACAAAAAAAAAAAAGAAACACAAACAAAGAAAACAAAACACCACCCGAGAAAGAGAACAGACAGATTTAATGATCAACAAAAATCAAGTCAAGCAAAAGAGACTTCATTGTTTTACTCATTAAGTCAGCGAGAGAATAAATAATCGACAGAAGAAAACAAAAATGTTTAACTAATCTTTATCAGTTCGACAACAACACAAAAAACTTGTACAAGCATATATATATATATATATATACCACATAAATGCTAATCTATTATTCGATATTGCCATGCTCATATACATAGAACAATAACACGAACAAAAAAAGAAAACAAAAAAAAAGAAATGCTAGCATTTAGACAATATCTGACACACAAAGACAAAAGACTTCCTAATATGTCGGAAAAACAAAAAGACATACATGCTCATATGAAGGGATCTTGAAAAAAGAAACAATCTGACAAGTGGAAAAAAAAAACAAGGACATGAGGCTTTGAGCAACAAACACGGACACACAAAAAAAACCGGTAGCTAAGTTTGTATATAAACTTTTTCCTTTTCATTATTTTTATGCACCTGAGTTAAGATAAGGAAAAACAAACACATGCAAAAAAAACGGAAGAGAAGTTAAACCCTGAGAAATAAACATACACTAAGTACTTGACAGAAAAACATATATCTCATCATTGAGATAAACATGAGATTATTAGATTTATATATATATATGGAGAGAGAGAGAGGGAAAGATAAATATCAAAGTTTATCCCAAGCAACAGGTGATGGTGGAAGTTCATGAGCTTGTGCGACTTGTGATCTAAACATATTCAAAAACAAAATCTTTTTTAATTTTTATTTCTTTATAAATTAATTACGTAGCAAATGTTTTATATAATGGTGAATCATGATTAAGCCTAAGAGGTACAGTATTAGCTTGACTAAATTCTGTCAATAATTTATGCATGTATTCTAAAAATATAAAAATAAAATTTATTTTTGAAATAGAACATTTCTATAGTACCTTTTGCTTGTCGCATACTACAAAAATTTTCATCTGAATCATCATATCGAAAACCACGTAAAGGTTCAAGATTAACTGTATATTGTCGTCCATTTGGTGTTGAAAAACAACAACGACACATACATGAATGATAACGAATACGTCCTTCATGAATATAATTATTTTCTAGAAAAATCATATACACATGAATAGTATTATTCTTTTCTTTTTCTTGACTATGTAAATAAAATTTATACCAAGTGCTTGATGTATTGTTATTCTTTTTCTTGGATCCCATGTTAACATACGTAATAAAAGTTGTACAGCTTCATGAGTTACATTTTTTGATAAAGAATAAAGCATATTAACTTTAGCAGCACGCCAAGTTTTTGATAATATATATGATTTAGCACCATCACATGCTGTAGATATTTCATCTAATGGTGGACTACCAAGTAAATTAATTATTAAATCAAGCTAGAAAAAAGCAAAAAGTATATATGAGAAAATTTTCTTTGAAAAATAAAAAGAAAATTTAATTTACTTGTTTAAGTGGTGATGATGCTTGAAATAGAATTCTTCGTCCAAGTAATTCAGCAAATATACAACCAACACTCCATACATCAATGGCATACGAATAATGATGAGCACCAAGTAATAATTCAGGTGCACGATAATATTGTGTAACAACTTCTTGTGTCATACATTTCGTTTTATCAAGTTCTTCGGTGCGGGCTAAACCAAAATCACAAATCTAAAGAAACAATAATTATGTTTAATAGAAATTCATTTTCTTTTTAATAATTTACCTTTAATAAACAATCGCTATTGACTAAAAGATTTCCAGGTTTTAAATCTCGATGAATAACTCCAGCTGAATGAAGAAATTTAAGTCCTAAAATAAAATTTTTTTGTATTAAATTAAATAAATCTTTATTGATTACCTCGAAGTATTTGATAGAGAAAAACTTTACAATGATCAATTGACAAAGGTTGTTGTGAAACAATAATTTTATGTAAATCAATTTGCATTAATTCCGTTAAAATATACCTAAATAAAATATAGTTTTGTTTTTCGAATTCTTTAATTTAATTATTTACACTTCATTGAATAAATCTACTTGACTAGGTGGTTGAAGAATATCAACAGCTTGTAAAATCTTTAATAGAGAACAAATAATTCGTTTTAAACAAAAAAGAAAAATATTTTATTTATTTTTTTTCAATAAAATTACATTATCATGTCGAAATGTGCATAGCATTTTTATTTCACGGAACGCTCGTCGAGCAGCAACAACTGATTGAAAAACATTAGGCATCTTTTTTAAGGCAACTCGTCGACTCGTTCGTGGATCAGTAACCGCCCTAAACAATTTATAAATAATACATTTGTTTTTCTTTTTTCTAATTAAATAAACATACCATATAACACCAAATGCACCATAACCAATAAGAAAATCTAAAATGAATAAATTATTAAATAATAAATAGATTGAAAATAAATTATTCACCGCCAGGTTCATTTTCATTTGTTGATGAAGCAAGTGTCGCGGAAGAATTTGATGAGGATGTACTTGATGATGAATAAGATGGTATACCTGAGTTATTTGTATAATATGAATGATGTATAGATTGTTGTTGTTGCTGCTGCTGTTGTTGTTGTTTACTTGTTGTTCCACCATTAGTTTTAGCCGTGCTACGCGACATTGCAATCTAGAATAGAAAAAAGATAAAAACCAAAAATTAATTATTTGCTTTTAGTTAGTTTTTTTTTGTTTCTATAACAAACCATTTTAAAGATTTTTATTTTGTTTGTTTTTAATCAATTAAAATGTTGGCGATAAATATCTGACCAAGATTGATTTAACTCCGCACGACATATCTGCCAATGTCGCTGTTGTAGTTATTCTATGAGAGACGAAGAAGAAAGCAAATAGAAAAATATTAGAGAAAGAAAGAGAGAAAGAAAGAAAAAAAAAGAAACGAAAGAGAAAAAAAAAACTTAACGATGAAAACTGCCAGTCAAGCAATCAACATCAATACAACAAGAAAAAAAAAATCATATGGACTAATAAGACGGACGGACAAAGTACATGAACGACCGCTTGTTCGTTCGCTCGGACGCAAGAACAACAAAAAAAAACCCTACCGTTTACATGCTTAAAGCTATGTTGAACCAATGATTTAATAGACTCATAAAAGGAAATTGAACAAATAATTATTTTATATTTATATATAAATAGTTTTAGGAATAATTTATTTCATATTTTATATTGTCATGATGGTCAATAGTAAAGAATATGTTTTTTTAAATATAACAACTAGCGACATAGGTTCATACTTTTTACAAAATTGTACTGTCAAATTCATTGAACGAGATATTAAAAAAATATCGATTTTGAGTGGCTGATTCTTTTTCTAGGTGTCATACAGTTAAGAATAACAAAATATTACGGATATGGCTCATTCTTTTTTTTTTTTCAAACAAAATGCATAATATCATAAATCAACTCATGATTAGAGTTGATCATTAAAATAAACCACATGTTTTATTGAATAAATTTATAATGAGATTTTCTTCATAACGTATGATATCTCAGAAATCAAGTCAATATTATGTAGATAGTCGATTGATTTTTCTTACTAAATTTATGAATTAAAAAAAGTGCATCAATGAACATTGATATAAAAGCATAATCAAGTTTGAACTTCGAAATTACTTTATCAATAATTAAATAGTGAATATTTAGATCGTATCTGATCCTATAGGA